TTATATATATATATATATATATATATATATATATATTATTATATATATAATTTATATATACATAACTAACTACACACACACACACACACACACAATTACAGGCTTGAAATCTAGCCAGTTATTAACAATTTCTCTAATCTTTAACTTTTCACTGGATGCTTCTCTGTTCTGTGTTGAAGCCAATCAAGGGGGTGGGGTGCAGGAAGTACAGCTGCAGCCCCCAGCCTTCTGATCCTTGCCGAGCAGCAAACTTTCCTCTGTCAGATTAAGTAGGATTCTCAGGTGGTGGTGGTAGTAGTGGTGGAAAGAATTTAGTCTGTTATCAACTGTTGCCTGCAAGACCACCGAGGACACGCACAGCCGCACAAAACACACAACAGAGACCCGAGGAGTGTGACTACAGGACTGCGCTACAGGTACACACATGCACTGCCTTCTCAGATGGGGTTTTTCCTCCTGAGGCGAGGCTAAAGCATCCAATCTCAGTCTTTCTTGTCTATCTCTGGCACTGATAAAGGCTTATAATGAACTGGGGACTGGAACTCAGTCCCAAGACCAATGGCTTTATGGCCTCGGCCAGATCATCACCCGCTGACGTCTGTCGCCGGGTGAGAAAAAAAAGAGAGTCCAATGGAAAGAATAGGACAGAAGTGCAGAGAGAGAGAAGCAGAGGGGGAGAGAAGTGAAGCGGGGCAAAGATTAAAGTTTTACACTCCAACCTTTGAGAAGCATTTTGCAACACAGCGGCCCCGACTATAAATTTACTACGGACGCGTTCTTTCAGATGTGTGCCGCATTACCAACTCTGAACTGAAATAAATGCTCCAGGATTTGATAAGGCTGTCTGCCGTCACGGCCAGGGTCCAAAAAAGGGGACAAAAGTCCTTTCGGGCTTATCGTTCCTCACACCGACTCCTCCTGCAAAAAGCGTATTTGTAAACTGGCAACAGTTGTGCATTGTGTTTGGCTTGCATTCAAGAATGCGATAGCCTGGCTGTGTTTTTATCCCAGCTCAGTGCTGACCCCTCGGAGAGCAAATAATGAAATGACCATGGATGCAAAATGTCCCACAGCATTTTGCTAGCCGTGTTATGAATAATTCACGTACAATGAGAAAGACATTAATGAAGGCCGTTAATAGTTGGATTTGTGATATTTATGTACTTACCTCAAAAAGATTGGACGCTTCGTTCCCATACTGAGCAGAAATGATCTCTGATTGGTCACTGTACCATTTGAGGCCGCCCAGGAAACTGTCTGCGTCTAAGTCACTGACATCCAGCTCTGAGAGGTCAAGTTCAGGTAAGTCTGGGCAGAGGGGCTGGTCTTCACCAACCAAGGCAGCACACTGGAGAAAAGATTAAAAAAAGAAAAACATCATGGATGGTTAGACAGAAATGACAGATCTTTCATGTGCAAATCAGAAAATGAATTATCTGAGCCATCCTGCAAAAGAATAGAGGGACTGGTAATCTGGGCATGACAAGGGGAACTCATACATTTGTATTATGAGCCCGAGCTTCTCGTCTTAGTGACAATTCACATTCTAATTCCCTCATTTGATCATTCTGGATGCCTCTGCTGATCTGCCACTTTCATGTGACACACTAAGTAGCTGGAATTCATGACTTCTCTCACTGTCGCTCCATCGATAAGTAACGGAACAGCTTTTTTGACGGGCTTGTTTTTGCACAACAACGTGCAAGCCCCGCAACCTGTTTCCACTCAGCTTCTCTTCAGCCTCCCAGTGTGCTGCTTACACTGCCACTGGTAACGGCCTCCCCGCTACTAAATGCTGCCTGTTGACATTTTGTTATTCACCAGCCACTTTTATGTAATCTATCCAGTGTGTCCTGTATGCAGAATATGTTACAGCTTCTGCCACACATAAATCATCAGATGTGGGGGTGTGTGAGTTTGTTTCCCCCCTGAACCAGCAGCTGAACAAGCAAAAGTCTGCTTCTTCTGGGGCAAACTATGAACCAGAGAGTCAGTGGTCATTAAAAAGGAAAAATAAAAATTAAAAAAATAAAATCCCCCAGAGCGGGGGATGTTTGCATGTTTACACTTTTGACTATGCAAATGCTGAACCCAGCCTGTGAAAACAGCTTCATACTGTAGTCTACACACTCCTTGACAACGCGTCTGTTTATGCATTAACGCCGGCCTTAAGAACGACATAAGAAGCCCGGATGTGTTTGGCCCGGAGCCTGAGGAGGGGTGAGAGTCGGGTTCGGCTCAGGGCAAAGCTGAGAGACGGATGCTGTGCCAAGAAGGAAAAACCGCCCAGACACCGGTGTCACAGTTCATCTGTCCTCGGAAACGCACCAACACGAATACACGATGACTTAAGACCGTGATGAGACAAATCCGTTATGTTGCGACTGCGAAGAGGAGGACAGATTCACTGCGTCTTAGGTTTCCCCCCACCCCCAGATCATCCAGTCAGACAAGACACGGAATGAAGAAATGGCAATAAAGCCGTTAGGATATTCAGAGGATGGACGTCCCTGTGCTCAATTATCTTATGGATTTCTTAGCGAACTAATGAAATAGCGCCGCCAGACAGACAGTCAGGGTGCACCACAGCGCTCCGGTGATTTACGCACGCACCGCGCATAAAAGCACCTGCTAGAGAGATTATTAAAGTAAGGAGCGCGGCGCTGATTGACAGTTAAATAGCAGGGCTTTAATACGTGCATACATTTTTTATCAGCATCGATCGGCTGAAGGAGGACACGCACATTGGTAGGGTTGAGAGTGGAAACTAAAATCGCAGTCTAAAAAAAAAAGAAAAGAAAAGGAAAAAAACGATGCTCTCCTGGAGCGTACCTGGAAGTAAGTGCAAAGGAGGGTGTCCGAATAACAAACAATCCCGAAAACGGTCTGCAAAACACACACACACACACACGTCCATATACAGATACACAAACACACGTACACACAGAGCCGCATTTTAATTAGATAAGAGCTGATTTCTTTCTCATAATCTGATCACGCAGACCACAAAATCGCAGCCGTGCAGCCGGATTGCAGTCATGTAGTTACTGTGAAAAACCCTCTCTGAGGCATCACTGAGATAATGAACGCAGACAAGTACCTCTGTATAACAAGCTGGGTGGACTCGGAAGATTAAGGGGTAAAAAAAGGGGGGACGAATAAGTATCCTTTTGATGTGCGTTATTGTCTGCATGCGCTTTAACCAGGTAAAGTAAGCTGCATAAAAAAAGACAGGAGCGATAGTGAGCTAATGACTTGGATGAAGCGTTTAAAATAAGCAGAATGTTGTAAATAAATTCGCAAGAACACGGAATGATCTACTCTAGCTGGACGCGATGTTGCCGTCCAGCCAGGGCAGCATTCCTCCGGCAGGAATGTTGGCACACAGACGTGGTACCGGTACCGTTAATATTAACATGCTCCTGCGCAATGCCAGATACCCGGTGCGTCAGTGTGGACAACCTTTGCACTTGCCTTTGAAAAAAAAAATCACCTGGCTATCTGGACACAGCACATCAAAGGGATTATTTTCGTCTTTGGATTTCATGCGTCAGCGAAATACCTGACTTTGAGACATTTCAGTCATTTCGGCACGAAAACCTTCTCGGCACCGGAGCGCGTACAGTCCGCGGTTGGAAAGATATCCGCCAGCTTGCAAGCACTTGCTCCGACTAAACAGGGATCCTACGTGGAGAGCAATGGTCCCGAGCCCGTGCACGCGTTACAACAACTACATCTTTAACTGGGCTGAAAAGGGAGATTCCGCACATTCCCTCCACTTGTCATATATTCCCGTGTCGTATATCCCTCGCATCCTCAACCGTGTCCAGACGCGCACTAAGCCACGAACAGCACCGGCAACAGAGGAGGAGGAAGGAAGAGGAGGAGAGAGAGAGAGAGAGAGAGGGAGAGAGGGAGAGAGTGCAGACTTATGTGGAGATCATCGTGCCAGTGTTGTCCATCGTTCCAGAGGGGAGAAAAAAAAGTCCAGAGGGCTAGAGAGATGAAAGAAGCCGGATTTTATTTGATGCGCTCACCTCTAATTCTCTCCACACCGAGTCCTGGTTACACCTGTCCCACGCCATCCAGCCACTGAATGACGCTCCGAAAAATTAAACAAAAAA